TTTTTTTATTACTTTAAATCGATTGACATCGAATGTTACACAATATAAAAAAGATCGACATTTGATTTTATCACCTCTTGATTATGCTTTGAAAATCATGACTAAATTTGAATGAAAATCATTACTATTTAAGGGATAACAGTCACCGAAAATTATATTTTTTATTTTTAAAAAATTAAACTTTATGGAACATTATAATGTTAATTATGTTTATTAATAAATTAAATTAATAAAATAGATTAACAAAAATAAATAAATAAATATAAATAATATGAATTCATTTTTTATGAAAATTCACAAAAAGAACAGTAAAGAATAACTAGGACTACTTGTAATGAATAATTCATTTAGTAAAAAGTTAAAAAAAAAACTAACAGCAAGGAATTATAAATTCGCAACAGTCATTTTCGCACTGTAAATTTTCATCTTCGCAATCTTCAGTATAGCATCTTTTTACGAGGGGATCTACTAATGAAAATGATAAATGTATGGTGAACAAATAGAAAGATAAAAGAATATTTAATTACTAATTTTTTTACCTAGAGTTGATGCATGAACTGTCAGGCCAGTGGCAATACAAACAAGAACAATAAACTAGAAAAGATATTTCATTGAAGTATTATTTTGTTCAGTGATAGTTTTTAGTATTATTTAGATATATATCTTTTTCTTTTCTCTGTCTTCTCTGTCTTTATATATGTTTTTTTGACGTACAATATATGATGATCCCGAAAGATTTTATTAAATTCTTTCTTTTTTAAACATCCTTTCTAAAATCATATGATATCTAGAAATTATTCTTTATTAAAAACATTATTCAAAAATACTCAAGTCCGTTCAGAACAAGAGCCAATCTTTAATATTGGGATTATCTGTGATTCAGCCGAAATATAAAGGTCGATCTAGTTGAAAAAGACGATCTCAGAACCGTACTACAATTTACATATTCAGAAGGTCACTTTTAAGGGGAATGTTTCAATTTTGATAAACAAAATTGATTTTTAAAGAACGTATTAATAATTGAACTTGAAAATTGTCGAAAACTTCATGATCTCAGATGATGATACTACACATTTCCTTTTGTATAGGTAAGCCATTCGTCAAAAAGGCGGAGGATTGCGGATAGATCGGATTATCCATCAGATACAATGGATGATCAGATATCCGATGAATCTGATGAAAACTAACTTTTTTTTTTTATTTTATTCTTATATTCATTTTCGTTATATATTTCCATTTTACAACATCAAAAACCAGCCAGTCTATCTCAGTGATAACACCTTATCATTAAATTTGAAATGACCTTTTCATTTAAAGTTCATTTGTAATTTAAGTCATTTGCAGTATTGGCCAATTTAACCTTTATGTGAAGTTAAAATTAGCCATAATTAGAATAAAAAAAATTAGGATATTAGAATTATAAAATCACATGATATATTTTCTATTTAAACCATGATTCAGCATATTAATATAAAATTTGACCTACCGGTATATCTTTGGCTTCTTATTAATTTTTTTTTGAAGTTTGCTATTCATCATCACTGGTGCTCAGCACTGGTATCATGTGATCTCATATATTATGTGACTTTTGGTAATACCAGCGCAATTTATAATAAAGGGTCAAAAGTGATTAACCAAAGCTTTATTTATGAAACTCACATAATACATTTGAGTTCGAAAATTAATTATATTAACCACCTTACCCATCCTAAATGAAACTAAATTAATGCGTAACTATTTCATGTGCTCGTTTTCTTTGTTGTTAGTTGAATTAGCCTTATATTTTGAACATCCACGGATATTATGACCTTTTTCGAAGTAATAACTACACGTTTTCTGTACTGTTACATCACCTGATTTGTTTGATATAACACGATTAACTTCTACCGCCGATTTATACCGCTTTGAAGGTCGTCCTTTTGGTTTGTGATATTCGGGATTTGATACTTCAGGAAGAAATGACAAAGGTTGATGATAATCTTGTATAGAAGGTTCTTGCAAAATAATATTGTTAGGAGTGTCGATACTTAAACCTGTACTTCTACGATATTTCATGATAAACTGCGTCAAAATTCCAATTAATTCGGATGTAACATCTTCTATAACGGCAATTTGTACGCTCGTTTTAGCTATAGACATTGCGGTCCCATATTTAAGTTTTTTGCTCACTTGTCCTCTAATCATAGGAGTATATACATTCTCGGTTTTCAAATTATTCATATAACTCAGAGGTATTGCTGTATGCCTTCTTTCTCCATTTACAATCGTAATAAAACTTGTTGAATCTGATAGATTCGAATTAAACCAACGTGTGTGAATCAATGAAATATGAATTATTACTTTTTTCGACTCAATAAGTACCCTTAATTGATGACGACATATCATTCCTTGATTTACAATAAACATACAGGTGCATAGTAAAGTAGAGTCTTCAAGTATAACATAATGTGATTTGCAATTTTTCGATCCAATATATGATACTTCCCAAAGCTCAGTAATATCATTGTAAGATATACCGTTAAGGAGTTCCCGTAAACGAATTTGTGGTACATCATATGATCTTTCTAATATACCACTAACATTGCTGTCATTTTCAACCTGATTAATTGAAATTAAATTAACTCGATAAAGCAATGATTGGTTCATTTGAGCTCTTTGAATTGATAAAGGAATAGGTGATAAACTTGTTTGTAATACAGAATCGAGCTCTTTGAAAATGGTACTATAAGTTGATGGCAGCCCAACCGATGGATTTGACCAATAATATTCATTAATTCGGGTATATTGAGATTCCTTATCTAATTCTCGCTCGATAGCCATTACCAACTCTTTTAATAATGTGCCCCGATCAACAAGCTTTTTTATAACACTAATGATTGACTCAACACGCTGTGTGCTTTCTACGCCTGCAGTAAAATTTTTGTGATACAAAATCGCGCCCAAGATTCTCGATTTGGATAAAGTCGATTTTCGAGATACGAACGACATGGCTCATACTTGGTTAACATTTCTTGGTATTTCGCATCAAACTGGTCTTCACTATAACTATTTCTCATGATGTAAAAATCCGATACGAAGCTTTTTATCATATCACCTTACAGCTTGGATTTTGCCTTCTTTTTTACGTTCTCCAAAAGATGATATATACATAATAGATGCCGCGTTTGTGGATATACATTCTGAACAGCGGCTATCATAGCAGGGTCTCCATCTGTAAATAATACCTTAGGTGGATGGTTATCAGATGCTTGTAATGTACAATTGAGGACCCAATTATAATCAGCTTGAGTCTCGTATTTGGTTAATGCTTGAGCAACTATTCTTGTCTTATAGTTGTTATCAATTGCAACGAATAAACTAAGAGCCATATCGTTTCGATTAGTTTTCGATGTATTGTCATGAATTATGACATCATGAAATTTTGGCCATAAATCGTTGCATTGCTCGCTCGTCATCCAGAATAGTCCTGTAAGTTCATTTGACGGACCCTCCACTCGTGGTAAAACAAAATATCCGGGATCGTCATCACGCAGCTTCAAAAGATACAAAAGCATTGTGGCTGCATCGGTTTTATCATGGATTCGTACACCGCGAAACTTATGTATCGCGTTATACAAGTTCTTTTTTTTGATGATCAATTCAGGATATTCTTTGACAAGCAAATTATATTGTTGTCCAGCACCTAAACGCCCATCTTTGGTATAATGCTCGATTTTGTCAATTATTTCCTGTGGAAGTCTTAGATTCTTTGGGGCTAAATCAATAGTTTTAGAGTCACACCGATGATTATGATTCTCTTCAAGTTTGGTGAGCTTTATAAGATTTGTTTGTTTCCCAAAATAGAAATTCGCTTGCCAAGGGCAACCTGTTTTGTATGATTCACAATTACGATGCAAACTTATGTCTTCAACCTTTCTCGGTTGATGAACACCCGATTTCCAACAAGCATAAACCCTACGTCTAACGATAGACTTGTCAATTAGATCAAGGTCCTTACGACATTTATTGGCCACAAACCCGTTTTGTTTTGCATATGAATCAATGACCATTTGAACAGATTCCCAATCGTTAAACAAATCGCCGACCTTCAGTGTAACTTCGTTCAAATTGACTATATTATGATCGTCCGTATCACTTTCTTCATTGCTTTCTTCAGGTTGAACAGGTTGAACAGGTCGAACTCTTTCGTTATCCATCAAGAAAATTTAAACTGCCAAGGCAAAAACCGAAATAGATTTTTTGAGGGAGGTGTATGTTTTAACCGATATAGTCTTTAACGTATCCAAAGTTATTTACCGTATTTACTGCAACCTAATAGAGACGGCCAAAGGTAAAGAAAAAAAAATGAAGGGTGTTCAATATGACAAATATTATAAGCCGCAGGAACAACAGTGGGTGAGTATATTTCAATATGACGAATATGACGACATTACAAACCGCAGCAACAATACAATATGATAATTGCTATTGTTTAAAACCGAAGCCTAGAACCGAATGGTCATCGACACATTAAAGACTACCCAAGCTCGATATATGCTACAACCTGCAAAGGTAAAGAAGAAAAAAAATACAACTTACGCGAAAATGGTTAAATCGCGTCTTTAATGTCGTTAGAACTGTGAAAATGATTAGATCACGTTTTACAATATTATTTTATTATGCAATAAACAATTAATCACGTGACACCGTTGCTGATCACCTGCGGTGATTCAAAGTAATTTTATTTTTTTTTAATCATATTTTATTTTTGATCCTTAACTTGAATGTTTATGTTTTCCCATTTTATTTATTCCATTGGAAAACAATCGAAGAATACAAAATAGTAAAAATATTTTATCTGAAAAATAAAGAATGTCGATAATTAGGTAATGAATGAAAAAAATAAAAGAAGGAAAAAACTCGTATAATGTGATCGATTTTATACTAAACCGACATGATTTGCAATCTTTAGATATTTTATTTACATATTTTGAGGTCTCGTTTTTCTTTATATAGGAAATATTCAAAGTAGTTCCATTTCGGGTTTGAATATTCGTTATTTGTTTTAAAACTATAAACCTTAATTTACTTGGACAAAGCTATTAAGGTATGCGATTGGTTTAAGAAATTGCTAAAGAAATTTTAGTGATTGTAGCATTTTAAAGCTTGTTATCCGCATGATTATACGAACTTATTCTTTCTTAGTTTATTAACAATATCTATTCGATGTCCGTAATATCACTTCTTTAAAAAAAACAAATTCTCGCAGAAAATCGTCAAATCGAAAAATAACTTCAGAAACGATTTTGTCAAAAAAAAGGGGGTGAATTTTTTTAAATAAAAGGTAAGAACACAATTTATTTAATCAAAATGCTATTTTGATTGTTTGCTACAATATCAACAATATTAATCTCTTTTTCTTTCTGTAAATGGACTGAAACTTCATTGTTGTTCATGATTTATAATTTGTTGCAGCGAGTTTATCTCATACATACGACGCAGTCATAATTTACAGCAACCGACTAAAATCAATTTTGCTTATTCAATTTTCGATTACAGTCTGATACCCCTAATTTAGCAACGCGTCTATATTTTTATTTACTGTATGATGGATGATAATATGAGCGAAGGAAATGATCAGGTTATTGTCAAAGAAGAAAAAAGTTCAAAAATTTGAACCATTTCTTGTTCTTTGAAATAGTTAATTGAATAACAAAGCCAATAAAAAATTGTTTTTATCAATTCTCATCAATTGATGCACGAAAGTAATGCTCTATTTTGATATTATTAATAGACCATTAAAATGAATATTATAAAAAAGAAGATGCTTTAAAAATGTATTGCCCTTTAAATCTTGGATTATTTTGTTTTATGATGAATGTATTTTTCTTTTTTTCATCATTTTTTTTGTTTTAAAAGAAAAGGATTAAACCTTTGCTAACGGAATAATATAATTAGTTTTTTATCCATGCAAAACCAAATAACTGAATTTGTGTTAGTTAATCATTACATTCATGTAAAATAATCCGTAATCCTTAGTTATATTAGAGGATGTATATGATTGGCCATAATGGAATCGCTAGAAAGATTTAAGAAAAATGTAGTCATAATAATTTAAATCGTTTATTTGAAGTTTAACAAGGTATGATTTTCGTTTGAAATTCGAATTCTTACTTCTGCAAGGTTTATTAGGAATTATATTTCCATACAATATTATGAAATTTTATTATATATAATTTATTTAGGGAATCAGCAAATGAATCGTTATCTCAATTTATAGTTCGAGTCCTTGAGTATCTTTAGCAAAGGCTTCTTCATTTTTTTTAAGTTTTATTATTTGTATAAATTTTTTGAATCGTTTAGTCTTGATGGAGGATGGATTCTTTGCGATATTGAAATTGAAATACATTTTTTCGGTATGATTATCTCTTATTTAATATGATAGGTAATCAATAGTATATCGAATGTTTATTTATTTATGAAGTAGTTAGAATAATTTTTTTGAACTTGGGCGAAAGTAGATCACTTGGAAATTTATAAAAAAAAAAAAATAATTCAGGGTTTTATTTTTATTCAGTAAAAATACAAAAATTCCAACTATTTATGTCTCTACAATAGACCTAAAAAGCGGTGTACTAGCTAATTCTATTTTTTTTTTATCGAAATACAAAATATAACGAAGCCTTTCCTCCCGAAAGTTCTATCGTCATGTTGAAGTCAGTTAGATTCGAATATTTGATTTTGATATTTAAATTAAACTTACAAAAATTTTCGTGAAATTCATTAAAATGTTTGGAATAAGTAAAAAAAAAATAACATCCATCAGTGAAATTTTAATATTTTTACGTTTGATAAAAAGTAATTTTAAAGTTTTATCCCATTTTGGATCTCTCATTTAAAATTGAAAAAAAAACCTTACCAACAAAATGTTCTAATTTTCTGAATCATTCTAATTAATTACGTACTACTTCTGATATAAGATGATCACTCACCTCAATGTTGACAGAAATCCGAAAGCTGTATTTTATCGCTGGAATTTATCTAAAATAAGCAGAATATTACCTTGTTGTTAAAGCAGGATACATTTTTATTAGATATTTGAACAAAATTTATAGAAAATTATAATATTATAATCCACTTTTTCTTTTTGATTCTAAATTTGAATTATACTTCTTTTGATTATGTATGGAGCGTGTCATTATAGAATTAGAAAACTGCATGACTCAGACAAATAAATCAACAAAATTTTTTTTTTTAAAATAAAGAATCTGACGAAAAAATGAATTTAGAAATATATTTTGCCCACGATTTGTTGATTTCAAGAAGATTTTGATCGATTGAAATGATCACCAAAATTTACCAAAATTGGTCCACCAATCAAATCCTTTATCATTGTTTATAAAATAGTCAGTTGTTTTGCTGGACTGGATTTTTTTTTTCTTATTCACTCTTCCCTTTTGAGATAAAGAGTGGAGCGGAATATTACCACTTCACCATTTGTTTTAAACATTAATTCAGGTATATACTTAAACTTATTCCTTACTATTGATTTAGAATTAATATTGGAATATGAAGCAAGACCACGTATTGATTTACTATTTATCTTATTTTATTTTTATGAAGATGGCTTTTACTAGAAATTAATAATACGTCGAAAAAATTGATAAAGTGGAATATTAATATTAAAAAATATACTGTATAAGATATACACTATGGAAGTATGATTGGATTTCTGCGCTGTTATACCTTAGATTGTATACAGGAAACGGTTTGATTTATCGTTATGATTTTTTTATTAGCAAGCCCTTACTAATTTATACATGACATGAATAATATTAACGCGTCGAAAAAGAGATGGGCGTAAAATTATTACTGGAAAAATGTAGTATTCGGATTATTTAGTTCGTTTTGGTTTTGAGTTGGATATTTATGATATATACTTGAATAATAATGGAATGGCGCTTCGATTACATTGATGGATTGTTTATACTATAGATGGAAAATAAATACTTAGCATTGAATATTGGACTTTTGACGCAGAAAACGCGGTTTGAATTTTCTTATATATATATTTTTATTATTATTAAGCATTTACTAATATATACTTGAATATGACGCGTCGAAGGAGCGGAATTTAATTAGCAATTACTAATATATACTTGAATGATTTGCCACGTCGATCACATTGATGGAGTGGAATATATTATTGGATTGAATCATAATCGGATGGATGATATAGTAATATTTTATGTGGGTTTATGATATTTTTATATTGAATATTGGAATTTTGATTTTTTATTATTAATGTCTTCTTTTATTATATTTGAACTATAATGACGCGTCAATTACATTGATGATAGATTGAGTGGATATAATAAAATTTATGTTGGATTTTGATTTTTAGAATATTGAATATATATGAAGCAAGAAACGCGGTTCGATTTTTCTTTATTAATGTTTACTTTTATTATTATTGATCATTTACTAATATATTATATATTGAATGATTATGACGAGTCAATTACATTGATGAAGTGGAATATAGTATTAGAGTTAAATTATAATTGGATGGACTTTATGTAATAATTTTATTTTGGATTTTGATTTTTTGCATTGGAATACATTGGAATTATATAGCGGTTTGGTTTTTTTTACAATTGATTTCTTTTATTATCGATTATTACATGATGAACAGAAGTTGCTATTGAAGTTAATTAATCACTGGATGGATATGAGTAATGATTAAGTGGAATTGTGTAGATAGGATGATAATGGCGTATCGAGTATATAGATGAAGTAATATTGTTGAAAAATTATTATTAGGATGTATTTAAATTATTAAGTGGAAATGTGATTCAATTTTTTAAATTAACGTTAAATATTGGATCTTCAATTAGGAGGAGCGATTACGGTTTGATTTTTTATTTTTAATAATTTCTTTTGTTATTATTGAGTATTTACTAATATATACTTGAATGAAAAATGACGCGTCAATACATTAATGGAGTGGATGGAGTGGAATATAGTATTGGAATTGATTTATAATTGTAGCTGGAAAAGCGGTTTGATTTTTCTTTATTAATGTTTTCATTTGTTATTTTTGAGCGTCAACTAATATATACTTGAATGAAAAATGGCGCGTCGATTACATAGATAGAGTAGAATATAATATTGGAATTGATTTATACTTGGATGGATAGTATGTAATAGTAATAGTTTTATATGGGATTATGAATTTTTACATTATATATAAATGGCGCGTCGATTATACATTGATGGAGTGGAATTCAATATTGGAGTTAGTTTATATTAGATTGGAAAAAATATAGTGGGATTATGATTTTTTATATAAATATTTGAATTTAAGCAGGAAAAATGGTTTGATTTTTCGTTTTATTATTTACTTTTTTATTATCAAACATTCACTAATATAAATTCAAATGATTATAACGCGGAAATTAAATGGTGAAACTGAATTTGCAATTGATGATGCCAATATATATTATGGAGGATATGATTAAGTTGATTTATGGTTGGATTTATTTTACTTGGAAGATGAAAATGCTGTTTAATTTATACTTGAACGATGTGATGATGACGATTCAAATACATTTATGGAGTAAAATTTAGTTATTTTTGAAAAATTTAGTAGGGTATATGTAAATTATTAAATGGAAATGAGACTGGATAAGCTAGCGATATTTTGGAATACAAGTTGGAAGGATCAGGGTTTTATTTTTCATTATTTGTTTGTTTTCTTTTATCATCAAGCATTTACTAATTAATTTATAATTGAATGTATGATATTGATTATTTAACATTGAATATTGGAATTGAAGCAGGAAACGCGGTTTGATTTTTTGTCTTTATTGCCTTCCCTTATGTTCAATAGTTTTCTAATTCATACGTTGGTTATTGATGGAGTTGAATTGAAAAAAAAGGATGCTATATGGTTTATTTGCTATCGGAAATTTATTAAGATGATTGACTTTTTAAGATATTGGAATATAAATAAGAACATGGTTTGATTTATCACAGTTAATTTTTTTTTTTTTATCAGCCTTTACTTATATATTTTGAATAATGATAGCGTTCTAGAAACATTAACGACCTGCGATTGATACATCAAGAATTTATTCTAATATTGTGAGTTGATTTATTGTTATTTTATTTAATTTTTTTCAATATATATATTATTATTATTATTTTGCACAATTCATTCATGGTTTGTTAAATAATTTAGATTTGGTTTTGGAATTGACATTTCGAAGGGATAGTGAATTTTGATATATTATGGTTTTTTGTTTTGCTCAACTTATTCATTTCAATATCAATGATTATTCAATAATTATATATGAATGAAATTTTTGAATTTCAAGATATATATATGGATTTTGCAAAACTTTGTTTGAATGAGATATTCGATATGAAAATAAATTTGATCTAATAAAACAAAACTTATTTATATATTTTTATTTAAAAACTATTGTGATTCTAATTTATGTATGATATATAATTAATAAAATTAATTTATAATATTCAATTTTAATGCAATCAATCAAATTTGTTGTATATTAAATATAAATATTATTTAATTACATTTTTTTTTTTTTGGTACGAATAAGTTTCGACGTCGTCAAAATAATACAAAACGTAATTTGTCATTTGTTAATGATGATAAAAAATAGATTAGTAAAGACATAGATCGTTCATTAGTAGATTGCAATTCTAACAATACTTTATATAGAACAAATGTAAAGGGAAAATTTACACTGATAATTCAAAGATATCTGATAGTTCTTCTGAAAGACATCACGGCGAATCATGCAAATTTCATCTGTGATGATCACGTAAATAAACTTACTCACTAATGAAACACCACAATTTCTAATTTAATCTCGTCATTTATCACAACGTTTTATCATGATAAAATTTAGATGATTCTGACTTTTCTGGCTCCCACACAATTGCTCTCTGAATAATACAATGCTCGGATATAGTGATAAGAAAAAGAAATGAGCGACATTTCAAACTAATTTCGTCAACTGATGGATCATCAAAGAAAAATTTTCAAAATGCTTCAGGGATGTTGTATTTATATATTGAAACTAATCAAGAAACAAAAGCTAAATCGATATATTTAATTTATACAAAGTAGAATTGGATCTTCTATTATATACTATCACCATTACCTTGTAAACTTTAATAAGCTTTTTGACTTGCTGAGCGAATAGTATTAGAATCGTCACCGAGCTTCGATTTCAGTCTCTAGCGGGTTATCCTTTGAAACAAATGAATGACGTTTCCAGTATTATTATTGTTATTACATATGTTACTTTGGTTATATTTCTTATTTGAATCAAAAGGACTCCTTTCACGTCTGGATCCATAAGTGTCCAGAAATTTTCACCTGCGATTGAGTTCCAGTTTTTAGGATTTCGAATATGAATGTAATCCTGTAATTTTTCCATTTTTAGGATCCCTCAAGACACTTCATTCACAATATTCATCTAGAATATCGTGTGAAGATTCAGCAGTTTCTCACCGTTTCTTGTTCGTGACAGATTTTATTTTAACTTGGTTGGGAATGCAGTCCAAACGACATCAGCTTGTTCTTTAGATGTGTATGTCGATTTGGATCGAAGCATTGCAAGTATGGACCGTAAAGGAATAGCATCTGGGGCCGTTTTGAATTCATTTTTCGCTTTATTCTTGTAGTAGATCAAAAGCAGTATCAAAGGAATTTTTTTCGGTAGCTCTTTCTATAATATTTTTCACCATATTTTCAATGAGATCATAACTTTCCGTGTTATTGTTGTAAATTATAGTAAAATAAAGTTATCAAATTCAAATGAAGTCGATATTTTAAGTCTAACGGGTTACAAAAACCGTTTATCAACTGATGTAAAATAAATATGGGCTCAGCACTACGGTCAACTCAACGTTTTTTATTTTTCTGCAATTATAAGCGGTAAATCTTCAAAGATCACACTGATCGATAAATTTATAATCATATTATCAAGTTCTTGGAAATTAAGTTTTTGTCGCATAACACAAAAAACAATGGACAATTCAATTCCAACAGATCGAAACACGTTCGTTACTAAAATTTACTACGCCATTTTGAGTCTTATTTACCAGATATACTCAATTTGTGAATAAGCTTGTCGATTACCAAAAAAAATTTCATTCAAATTTTCCCGTGAAAAAAAGGAATCGTGTATATTTTCGCATCGCATAATAATTATAGTCGCAGAACGAAAAGAAAGGTTGGTTAGAATAAGTCGGCGGCGCAGTACAATGGTATTAGAGACATTTCGTTGCATTCAATTTTAAATGTTATGAAATTCAGGGTTGCATAAACAAAATGCTTAAGGTATTTTACAAATTTTATCATTCGAAAGATGATTTAATTTTTCAAAGTTATAAACGGGAATTTAATAAAAAGTTCGATATTTAATTATATATAAAGTTTGTTTGTGGAGAACGTGAATAATTAATTTATTAAAAAAAAAATGATTCAACAATTCAAGCATTACTTTTTAATTTTTTAAACAAAAAAAAAAAAATATTTCAATATGAAAAAATTGATAAGCTAATTTCGAACAGATCTTTTCAAATATCTAGGGGAGAGATGCGTTAATGAATCAGGTAAATTTGGTAAGCTGGTTATTTTTGTATGATCACAATATAGTTCTATCAAGGATTTAGGTAAAGTTGGTAAACTAGTTAATTGAGTATTATCGCATCGAAGAATTGTTAAGGAGTTAGGCAAGGTTGGTAAACTAGTTAAATCAGTGTCATAACAATAGAGTTCCGTTAAAGAGTTAGGTAAATCTGGTAAGTTACTTATATAATTACCATCGCATCGAAGATTTGTTAATGAACTAGGTAAGGTTGGTAGGCTTGTAATGTTTGTATTATAGCAATGGAGTTTTGTTAAGGAGTCAGGTAAAATTGGTAAGCAAAATATTTGAGTATGATCGCATCGAAGAAATGTTAGGGAACTAGGTAAGGTTTTTAACTTAGAAATACGAGTATTATAGCAAAGAAGTTCAGTTAAGGAGTTCGGTAATTTTGGTAAGAAAATTAATGGAGTGCCAAAACATCGAAGAATTTTTAAGGAACTGGGTAATTTTGGTAGCTTAGTTATTTGAGTACTATGGCAATGGAGTTCTGTTAAGGAGTTAGGTAAAAATGGTAAGCTAGTTATTTGTGTACTTTGGCAATTAAGAATGGTTAAATAGTTAGGCAAAGTCGGTAGGCTAGTTATTGGTGTGCTTTGGCAATTAAGAATTGTCAAATAGTTAGGTAAAAATGGTAAGCTAGTTATTGGCGCGCTCTGGCAATTAAGAATTGTTAAAGAGTTAGGTAAAGTTGGTAGGCTAATTATTGGTGTGCTTTGGCAATTAAGAGCTGTTAAAGAGTCAGGCAAAGTTGGTAGGCTAGTTACTGGTGTGCTTTGGCAATTAAGAATTTTTAATGAACTATTCAATTTTGGTAGCTTAGATATTTGAGAATTATTGCAATGGAGTTCTGTTAAGGGGTTAGGTAAAGTTGTTGGTAAGCTAGTTATTTGTATACTTTGGCATTTAAGAATAGTTAAAGAGTTAGGCAAAGTTGGTAAGCTAGTTATTTTAAGGTTTTCGCTGCAGTAAAGAGTTGTTAATTTTCGATATCTTTGCAATCCTCCTGAAGAATTAAATATGTCATCTTTATTGAGTTCAGAAATAGTTAAACTTTCAGTAGTATCGTCATAAATTATAGATTCTTTGATCATGTTCCCTTGCTCCATATTTATTTCTTTAAATACATTAATAGTTTTTTGCTTGTCCTTGGTTACTTCGTGTTCACTAATTGTTTCTTTGGTTGCTTCTTCTCGTTCTATAAACCTTTCTTCTAAGATATTAATAATTTCTTGCTTGTATCTAACCTTTTTCTCTAAATTATTAATAGTAACTTGCTTAGATTTGACTTCTTCTTCTCGTTCTTTAACCTTTTCTTTTAAATTACTAATTATTTGTTGCTGGACTTTAACTTCTTTTTCTCGCTCGTTAACCTTTTCTTCTAAAAGGTTATTAGCTTGCCTATATGTTGCATCATCATCTCGCTGTTTCATCTTTTTATCCAAATATTTTAATTGAGAATTTGCTCTTGATAAATCATAATTTAAGATTATAATATCTTGCTCTCGGTCATCTAATTCGGCTAATAGCTTCTTTTCACTTTGTTCTAATTCGTTAATTCGATCTTTCAAACCTTTCAAAGTTTCAGAGTTGATTTCTGAATTCATTTTTGCGATTAATTATTTTTTTTTCTTGAATTTCGAAATTAACGGGAGAGATTTTCTGTTATTGTTATCTAATGCGTTATTTATCATTTTCAGCCCTCGACTATCATTCCTTATTTTGGAATAGCAAATATTCTAAATGGAAGCTTTAAAAGGAACCATTCCCTATTGATAATATACATGGAAAAAAATTTTTTTTCTTAAAATATATTAGTTAAAAGAGGTAAAAGCTTTGTACAAGAAATTGTGTGTGGTGTGGCTATTAAAATCACACCATTAAAAATATACATAAACGAGTTTTTTTTAGAAACTAAACAATTACAACGAAGTTTTAGCTTTTTTAATTAATTGATCGTGCTAAGGGGACTTTTAACTCAAAAATAGTAAAGTGTTTTGATAAAAATAAAAAAAATTTTTATGTAAAAAAAAAGGTTATGGTACGTTTGACCGAAAGCCATTTGACCGAATCTATTTGTCACCGCATTAAACATCACACTTCAATTGATACGGTTACTATAAAATTGTTATTTATATATGCATACGCGTGACAAATAGTTTTCGGTCAAATGTCAAACGTCCGGATACGAAAAAAATGACTTGATTCCTTGCTTGCGTAGTAGAATAAACAGAAATGTTGGTATGTTGATACAATTTTATTTAATTACGTGCTTCAACGTCGGCGTTCTATACTTTCGAGTCAAAGTACATATGCAAAATTACTGCAGCTAATAAAATTATTCTAAATCGAAAATACTATTTGCAATCGTTCAAAGGTCATCGTTTACCTATTATTTTAAGAACAATTTGTCCTTTGAACAAATTGAAGAAAACATTTGGCAAGTAGTCATTTTTATTTTTCAATTATTTGTATTAAATAACAATAAGAATTGATAAAATTTTATTAATTCTTTCAAATGTATTTATTCAATGTTGTAAATTAGCATTTTTTATTAAAAATAAAAATGAATATAACATAAATAAATTGTGAAATACTAACTAATACAAAAAAAAAGCATTTATTATATACTCTAATAAGATTCCGACAAGTGGCAAAATCGAAATTAGTTTTGAAGTTTTGCCAAATAATTACTTTTTTAAAGGCAAAACAAAACCGCGAAAGTTTCGACGGATGGGTAGTAATTGAAATGTTGAATCACAATCTTATAAATTTTTACATTCAACTAAACCCGTCAACATCCGTTGAAATTGTAAATTGTCTAAAGCCTTCGAAAGCCATCGAAAAAAAACCTTCGAAATTCGTCGAAATTGTTGAAAGCCGTTAAAGTTATATTATCTACTAAATTATTGTCGACATATTTTTTCTGACTTATGTACTGTAAAATTTAAAAGAATATACCTACAGTATGTTACTATATATTATTTTTAAAATACCATTTCTTCACAAATTTTTGTCTTGAAATCTTAACCAATGACAAGTGTCATAATAATTATTAAAATTATTGAGATGAGATTCCAATATTTAAATTAGCCAATTTTAGTTCCTTAGTGAATTTAGCTCAATGTCTCGACGGACGAATTCAAGGCTTTATTATCTTTATATCGGCTTCAATATAATATATAAGTAATTTTTTTTAAAAAAAAATTCACAAATAATTAAATGTGAAAAAAAAACGAAGGTATGATAAGGATCATGTGATTAGCAATTTATTTCACGTGATACAGATGCACATGTGATGACATATATTCGCCAACTTTCTCTAACCGGTAAAAACTTATTTTTTCTTAAAAAAGTGAAGGCGTAACTGTGAAGGAGGAGCCATTTATGTATCTTTTATTCGTCATTAATTCTATCTACCAACCAACAAAACTACCCAACAACTTACCTATTTATGAAAGACGTGTTACGCACCTAACACTTGATTTTAGTATTGGACAGTAAGTTGTGAGTTTCATTTATAGTTTTTGGAATAAATTTGTGGAAGCTGCTTTTTGTCACTAGAAGGCGTCATATTCATATTAATTAATTTTACATAAAAAGGAAAATTATGATATACGAAGGCGAGGAAGGGCTTTTGATGTAGACATATGAAGAAACGTCGGATATACTTAAGGTATAGAGCGTTCCATGTTGTAGACTAAAAGTAATACTTAGTGCATGTCGGTAGTCCCTCGGGCTTTGATTCGGTACTCCCTGGTGGCATTACCAGTGTCCCAAGCCATAGACAAAATTAGGTTCTGGGAGGAACCTGGCCAGGTTACCGCTGATTGGTTCTCACGTCATCCTCTGTCTCAGGGACCTAGGAGCCCCCGTTGGTTTTAAGGCTTAAATTCCTAGTACGTAAAACCGTGACTATTTCGCCTAGTGCAGGATATGATGACGTGGCACGAACAAGCCATGATAGTATCGACCATTATCTGAGATATCTGTTCTTCAAGGTTAGGTGATAATGATTAACCTTAGTGCTTTACTTTTATTCATTTTTTAGTTAAATTTTATCCGAAGAAGCGACACTTATAATTATGGTCAAGAATTGAAAATTTCCAGTATTGCTAAAGAACCGCTTTCCTGTAAGTATTATAGTTTATAACTCTTGAGATTAGAGATTTTGTCAATTGAATGTTAAATTTTTATAATATTTACATCTATCTGCTTGCATATTCCTTGCTTTAAAGTGAGAGAATGCTTTCACGACACTGAATTAAACAATTATTCTTTGATAATGGATTGGTATGTAAATAGCCTGCGAGGATTGTTTGAAAGATTTGTTGACGAGATCGATCGCAGGTTGTTTTGAAAGATTTGTTGACAAGATCGATCGCAGGTGTTGTTGTTGTTGGAGGGACAAGATCCAGTTATAAATGAGATGATAATGATAAAGTGGAGATGCAGACGGTATTAAAAAATGAATATATGATTAAATAAATTTATAAATTTATAAATAATTTATAACTAGAGAATATAATTATAATGGCATGTCTTAAAATAGATGCGAAATAACGAACTAATGATAAAATCATTGTAAGTATAATTTGTTTTTTTACTATTTTAAATGAATGATTTGCAAGGTTTTATTAATATAATATATTATTGTTTAAAAATATAAATATTTAATGAAATGTACAGTAGATTTACCGCAGCGCTGTTTTACAAGAAGAAATTAATAAATATTTCAACTCCCTACGCCTTGTTTCCTGATTATTAGAAATAGTTTTTCGCCAAATGAACGAAATGAACGGGTATTTTTATTTATTTATTTTTTTTTAAAAAAAAAAGGACTCATTATTGATGCAAATAGAATAAATTTGTTTGGCTACTTTATATGCAATAACGTTTAATATCATATTTATATAATTAATTGAACACGACTATGATTTTGACATGTTTTATATCAAGTTTCCATTTTTGTAAAAGAAGGAATGATATGTCGTGTAATTTATAAATTTTTTTGAATTGTTCCCTTGGTTTAAATAAATAATGTCAGATACTCATGATCAAAATGATTACGAAAATTTTTTTTCGAAAGATGCCGAAAAATATGATAAAAATGATGAAAATGATGATTATATTCAGAAAGAAATTTCAGACAACCAAATATGAAATATATGGTGTTAGCTGCAAGATTAATATTATCAAAATTGATCATATTTGACCGATCTACATATTTATCATATTTATTATATTTGTCAGATTTATCATATTTGTTAGATTTATTACATTTATTATATTTATTATATTTAACATATTTAACATATTATATTACTATTAGTTTATTTTATATAAATAACATGTATTTTTCCTTGAGTTGAAAGATAACTTGAGATAGAGATTTGTAAATAAACTAAGAATTAACTAATTATCTTCAAAATATAAATATCAATAAAGACGATCTGACCCTTCAATTAATTAAACTCGTGTATATTTCTTTCATAGTTTAGACGTAATTAAACTCCCTGTTAGCAAATAAAAATTGTTAACTTAACGACGACGAACAGTTTAAGCTTAACAATGGTTACTAGTAGTGAAGATGATGAATACTTAATTATGTGGACCTTTGATAATCAGAAAAGAAACAAGGTTGGCTGATATGGAAGTTCTTAAGAAAGGAGCAACGTAAAAAGCTGATTGTGATAATTTAATGACGAAATCCGATTGTGAAGATTTAATGGATAGATTTATGACTAAAAATGATTGGAAAACTTCTAAGTTAGAATTTCTAAAGAAATCAGAATCCTTTTAGATAAATTGTTGACGGAAATGAAAATTAGAAAAAGCTATAGTAACCATGATTTAAAAATTGATATTGACGATGAATAGATTCAATTGTTAAATAGTACTTTAATTATACTTAATTAACAAAAATTTATATATTTTATTCTGGTTGTATCTCTTTTTGTTTTGGTCGAAAATAAATGACGCGTCATTTTTGGGAAAAAAAAAAATCCTTTTATATTTTTTCTAAAATGTTGATCATGTAGACATTTTATTTGAAGATAATTCAATTTTGAGCCAATTAATGTGTTATTTATTTATTTATTAAATAGATATTTTATAATAAGCAGAAGTATAATTTCTTCTTTTTTCCATTGTCATTTACGAAATGCTTTTTATGTAAAAATTTACTTAAAGGCAGGTTAAACAATAATAAATTCGGATGATGAGGTCGAAACTTTTATATTTCTTTAATCGTCCAAGTTACGCAAAGCAAACGTAGATCGGAACAATAACAAACATTTTGTATCTCCTCCTTTTGTTGGTATATATTTGATCACAACGTTGTGATCGTCAAATTCTAACTTTTTTTATTTTCACTCCAAAAAATTTTTTTTCAACCAAGACCATCTATATAGCCAATGACCATTACTCTAAACTGTTTGATTTTTGGTGAAAGTAATAGCAAAGATAATAACTTTTTCAAAGTTATTATAGAAAACAATGTGACCGTCAACATCCTCAAGAAAACTATCAAGGATGCCATAAACGTTAACTCTATAAGGGTTAATAAATTTAACCTGTGGAAGGTTGACATCAAAGGCAAGCCAAATTTAAACATCATCAACCCTAATTTGCTTAACGAACTTAACGGTGAGGAACTACCTCCGTTATCAAAGATTAGTGAACATTTTTCTGATGATCTTGAAAAGAAGCATTATATAATCATTCAACGAGTTAAAAATATTATTGTATTGTGTGATGGTACTTGGAATGGTCTGACTACTAAAACCAATGTTTATAGTTTGTATCAGCTGTTGATGAAACAAGGACAACAACCTTGGTACAGAAAAGGAGTAGGAACAAAGTTATCGAATATATTCTTTTTTCTAAATGGAGCTTTAGCTCTAGAACTTGATGATATAATCATGGAAGCTTACAAAAAGATAGTCAAAGAGTATAATGCTGAAAGTGATCAATTCGAAAGTAAAGAGATATGGCTTTTCGGATTTAGTCGTGGTGCTTACATCGTGAGATGTGTTGCTGGAATGATACGAAATTGTGGGATATTGAAATTTAATAACGAAGGACTCATCAAACGCGCCTATGAAATCTATCGTAGTAGAGATCCGGCACATGATCCAGAGGGTTATGAATCCAAAGACTTTAGAGATGCATTCAGTCATGAACTTGGTAGACCCATTAGATTTCTTGGACTTTGGGATACCGTTGGCGCTCATGGTATACCAACGTACACAATTGGAAAAGGATTTGAATATTTGAAGTTCTATGATCAAAATGTATCTAATGTAGTTCATAATGCTTGTCAAGTTTTAAGCGTCCATGAAAGGTTAATTTTCCTTGAACCTTGTCGAATTTATAGAAATAGTGATGCTTCGTTAGTAAAGATCGAAGAGACTTGGTTCCCAGGAAAACATTTGGAGGTGGGAGGAGGAATGCTTTCAAACAATGAAAAGATATCTACGCAAAGTCTTTTGTGGATGATAGGAAAAGTTCAACGTGCTGGTGATTTATTAGAGATAAAGGAGGAATACAATGAAGACGACATACAATTCGAAAATAAATACTTAAGGATACTACTTTCTTTTTGGAGATTAATTTTTTTGAAATGGCTCAATTATTTTATAGTCTTCCTTTATACAAAGAACATACTGTTTAGGGATAGAGTAATTCCATTATACACAGATGATACAAATAGAAATATGCTAAAGCGTGATCTGCTTTATAAAAATGGTCGTTGGGGGGATAGCTTTGGTAATATAGATAGTCAATATTCTTCAAGAGCTTATTTAGAATTATACGAAACGATGAGAGATGCAGGAATAAAAGTTCCTCCAGAGTAACGCGTCGTATTATTGCGTCCGTGAAAAGCATACATATATGTTTTCGTCTGCTATAAAGTTTTTTTTAAATTTGTTTTTTCAATAATCCTTTATTTTTTTTTTTTTTGAGTAAAAAAAAAAATTATATTATAATTATTTTCCTCTAATTTTTATAAAAAAAAAAACCTATTTTATTTTTATTTTATTACGAAACTACCTTAAATAAAGATCAAATATAATTTTCATATATAGTATTTCGTAGTGATATCTTTTTACATTACATTTAAACTACTTGAAATTTTTTTTTTTTAACAAAATTACCAATTACTTATACTAGTTCCATAATAGTATATGCCGAGGTAACTTGAATTACTACCTTTATGTTTATTGTCCCAAACACGTTCATTCTATGAAACATTTGATAAGTCTTGACATTACCTAAAATTCTTTGAATCATTTTACCAATTTTTATTAAATTGAACCCATTTTAACAACAAATTATCGAAGAATATAATTACTTATGATAAACTTTGCAATTACCCGTGACCTGAATGTATTGTTATTCAAATATAACAATCTTAACAATGACGTTTATAAATCAAAGTTCAGTTAAAGATGTACTGTAGTATGTAAATTAAAAGATCAAGCCAGGTGTGTACATTTTGATGTCTTAATTTATAAGTCTATTTCTCTTTTATCGTTTAAAAATTAATTACTCACTTTCAAAAGTATTACCAGATTGTAATTGGGCTTTTTGTTTCCGGTACTTTAATTGACAAGTAATCGATTTGATAAAGTTAGTCATTATATGTTTTTCTCCTACTTGGTTCACAACTTATCGCCAACAAGTGAAAACATCTTTATATGGTATTGATAAAATTTATGAAGAAGACAGTTTAGCTTTTTAGTTAATTAAATTAATGCATTTATCACACAAAGACATTTTCTTAACGATTCTGTTTAAGTTTTATAATAGCGTATTGTGCTACAAAATTACATTTGAAGAAGACGAAATAATTATTTGGATCGTAAATACAATTTGTACAATAAGGTGGGTGCGATCTATCTAAAACTAAGTTTTAAGTTTCTTTATGTTACAATATTACCATTCCATTATTAAACCTTTTTCACGCATAATCCATATGGTCGAATATTCTTTTCATCTGGTGTAACCCAATAATGAATATCATCATACTTGACTAATCCCACAGGGTTAACTCTATTCTGAAAAACCACTTTATAATTATAACCAGCATGAACAAATTGAATCGCAAATTGTTCAGCCACCTCAATTTTAGGTGATGAATAAATTCCTTTCCCTTTTGCAAATCTTACTCCCTTACTAAGCAGGTAACCTTGATTCGCAATAGAATCAGCACAATCCTTTTTAGTACCATGATAAGAAACCGGCCATTCATCTGAACTATCACCAACGCTACCTAACCATTTGTTATTAGAACCATACTTTCCTGAAACATTAAGCGCTATTCTTTTCCATCCATAAGGTTTGTGATACAATAGTTTCCCACGAAAGTAAGTTTTACCTTCATTTTTTCTATTCGTGTAGTCACGATCATATTTACGATCTAATAAATCTTCCTTGATAACATAGAAACCATAACCTCCCAATAATCGAAATAAAATATTTACATTATCACCTTGCTTGATATCATAGGATGCTAGAGATTTATCATCTTCCAATGGTTTACAAGCCAATTCAAGACGAATCTGCGTGATTATATATCCAAGCTTTTCTTGAATGACATGTTTTAATTCAAGGACTGTACTTTGCGGAAATACTAGCATTGCTCGACTTTCTCCAGAAAGGGTTATAACAAAGATTTGAATTAATCCCTTACTAGGGGCATTAAAAGCGGATTTTGAGGCATTCTTCTCGGTTTCAACGTATCTGGACAATATTAAGACATGATTGGTATTTGCATCTAAAATTTGTGTGGGTGCTATCGGAATTTTATTAGCTACACATTCATCATAAGTTTTTATGGAAGTAAAGGAAGACAATGCTGAGGCGACAAGTGCCAATTGAGACATTTTTTATTATTTTTTTTGGTATCTTCTTGTAGCAATATATTCCTACCGAACTTGAGTGCTTATATCAAAATTTCTTTTTGTTTTTAAAATTAATGAAAATCAAAATAATAAAAATGTGTTGTTTCATGAGAAAATTTTGTATCGCACTGTTGTAATCATGACATGTGCTTTATGTGTATAATACTTTTATATACCATTTTCATCAGTGAATGAAAAAATCGAAATTAGAAATACCAAATATGGAAATAATCGGCTTGATTGTAATGCTGACCAAACGCATTATAAATAATTAAGCAATGATCCTGACTTAAACTTGACTTAATGTTTTACCAAAAAAGTCGTAGAAATAAGAAATAAAAAAAAAAATACCATGAATTTCTTAGCTAAGTAATTATTGAATATAAAAAATGTTTCTTGCGTTTGTATAAAATAGCGAAGCGAAGATAGCAATTTTTTTTTAAAAATATGGAAATAAATAATAGTTAGCTGAATTACTTTTAAAAGAATAATTAAAATCGTTAACCGCGAGGGAAAAATCTAACTCGCAATAATCAAAAATCCCATAGTAAAATCCTAAAGTCACGAGACACAAGACACAAGATATGGGGCCTTTGCAATAGAAAGGGGGGAAACTGCCGGGAAAAATTAATTTTACTTTATATGCCAAATATGATTTTTATGCTGAAATATGTTCAAATTTAGCATTAAGTCACTTTTGATTTTTTCGGCTGTTTCCCCCCTTTCTATTGCAAAGGCCCCATATTATCTTAACACTTCTTCTCGTCGATTTTACGGAAATTTTTAACCATTCTTCAGCCATAAAACGCTGATTGTTGAATGAAATTCCTTTGCTACAAATTTCAAAAGTAAAGACAAGATTTGATTTTCTGAAAATATTTAATAATTTTTAACGAAATCGCTTGATAAACTGTTTGAAAATGAGCCTATTACAACATTTCTTTTTTTTGCTCTAATGAACTTCCTGGTTGCTTTTGGGTGTTATTTTTATAATATAAATAAAAAAAAATTACGCGATTATGCTGCGTCACAAAAAATTATCGTATTTCATGAATATAAGCATTTTAGCCCTATGAAAAAAAGTTGTACATGTTTCATACTGATTTCGTACAGGTGTATACTGAAATCATACAGTTTTTGTGTAGTTATTTCAATTTTCCATACAAAAATAATTGTACAGAAATTTTAACAGAGAAATCGTACAGAAAAAAAATTTGAAATTTGAAATTTGTATTGAAAAATTAAAACATACAGGATTTTGTATAGTTTAGTATTTTATCGACGTATGGAAAATTTAATATTACTAAAAGTGGGTAAATTAAATTAATTAATTTTTTACAAAAATTGCAAATAATAACAAATTGAGCTTTAAAACCTTTCTTGGCGTTAAAAGTAAACTTGCAGAGCAACAAAAATACTATCTATGATAATAAATTTAAGCTAGAAAATAATCATACAAAAACTATATCTATTAGTACTGTTGATTTTCCTAATTCAGATGTAGGAAAAATGTGCTAAAAATTTGATCGTACAGGTACTAGGGTTATTTCATGTTTTGGCACCCTGCACAGTCCGAAAATTGTAGTGTATTTTTTTGGCACAAAAGCTACATAAAAACTGTATAGGATTTTTTCATAGGGTAAAAAGGGGGGTAATAATAATAAATTTCATAATTTATCATTATCATTTGAATAACATTCTTATTATAAAATAAATAAATATGGGACCTAGGCTCGATTATATCATTATCAATATTTACTAATGTGAAGAATAATTGTAACAATTTTTGTTTGGTAAATATATGATTATTTTAGTAAAAGTTAATTGTAAAGTATCATCTAGAAATCGAGGCTCAGTATTTTTGTAATAAGTCATTTACGTTTACAATAAGATATATGTGTAATATATTTTAAAAATGATTTGATTCAACAAAATATTTATAATGAAACTATTGGATTGTAATCGATATTGATCTAAAAGCTTTAGAAGTAAGTATAGCATTTAGTGTAATAGGTGAAATTGTTGATATTGGAATAAGAAGAGAAATGAGAGGGAATAGAGAAGTTCTCACTAAGAAGTGGTAGCCTCCCCAGTGCCTTCTTGATATATTACTTTGTATTCCTTTTCTATTTTTCACACCTCTAGCTCATTATAATTACTAATTATATTTTCTGCATAGCAGGAGATTTCGCAATCTCTGAAATACTAATTATTAATCTTACTTAGCTAGACTCTTTGGAATTGTATAAATACTAATTTATTATTTTATTTAGCACGGGTTTTTTGAAAGCAAATAAGCTTACTGTATGCAAAACGAAGTGGAGCGGTAAGCAAATTGTGAATACAATAAGTGGGCAGATGGTATGCAAATCATAAAGCAAATATGAATGCCAAGTCTGCAGAGCATCGAAGATGTGGAGCATATGTACACAAGATATGTTCACAGGTTGCGGAGCATCGAAGATGCAGAGCATATGTACATAAGATATGTTCACAGGTTGCGAAGCATCGAAAATGCAGAGCATATGTACATAAGATATGTTCACAGGTTGCGAAGCATCAAAGATGCAAAGCATATGTACACAAGATATGTTCACAGGTTACGAAGCATCGAAGATGCGGAGCATATATACACAAGATATATTCACAGGTTGCGGAGCATCAAAGTTGCAGAGCATATGTACACAAGATATGTTCACAGGTTGCGAAGCATCGAAGATGCAAAGCATATGTACACAAGATATATTAACGGGTGATAAAGCATCGAAAATGCAAAGCATATGTACACAAAATATGTTCACAGAGGTTGCGAAGCACCAAGAGTATGGAGCATGTACGCAAAACATGAAAAAAATCAATATAAATGCATACATATTGAGTTTCAGGAATTTTCCCAGAACATCCTCAGCACTAGCCCATCTGAAATTTGATATACATATGCTTTAGCATCCATGATTTTTCGAATCCTTCTGGCCCGGCTAGTCCTGATCAAGAGCTTTCAAGTATGTCTGCATTTGTATTATTCCAATCAGTAGATTCTGAGATACTCGCGTTCAAAGTAGCCAGAGCGGTCAAGCAGTTTTCTTATCTCAGATTAGCCAAATAGACCTAGACCGATATCTGGTATTCACTTTATGAACCTTTCTTCATCATCATGGATTATTGGGTAGGGGTAGGTGTAGGGATGTGTTAGTCCTGGCAAAACCGGTCCGCAAATCGGTTAATGAACCGGTCCACATGGTCTTCGGTCCGTGAT